GCATCCTGTACACCCCCAACACTATCCCAATTCAAATCCCCTAAATTAAAAAAACAACAAAACCAAAGCTCAAGGACTGATGTAAGCTTTTGTGAATATATGTGATGCCTGGCTGTGCAGGACTATAGGGGGACCGAAATCTCCTAGCAACTGCTAAGGGGGTAGAGCTACAAATAGAAAATCTCCACATACAGAATGCTATACCTACAGCTGATCCAGAGGAAGGCAACAAAATAAAAACCCTATAAAGAAAATTCCATTATTGTCTTTGGGGCCCATTCACACATACAGAACACACTTCTGAGCAACTTGAAAAAAGGTGCAGACACTTCTTTTGCTGCGACATAATATGGATTTGGACCATAGCCTTCAACGGTGAGTGCATGTAAATGGATATAAATGCAAAAATGCATAAATTAAAAAAAAAAAAAAAACACAATTTCAGCCCAGACTTATCGGTACCTGGCAGGACAGGCTCCAATCATGTGATCACTGTGACAGTGGTCACAATCTCCAATCCTTCCTACCCCCCAGGCGTTTAGAACTGGTTAAAGGGCCACTGGCTTGGGAAGGAAAGAGTTTAAGAGTTTTTCTACACTACATGGCCAAAGGTTTCTGAACACCTGACCATAAAGGCCTGCCATGCAAATCTTGAATTTCAGCAGGTTCTTGCTGAATCAGACAAAACTGTCAGCCATGGGTGGCCTTGATGGTTGATTAAAAAAATCAAAGGAGAAGCATGGAACAAAATTATAATGAACAGTGTCTGCAGCCAGTCATATGCATTCACTATTCGGGTATTCAGATACAGAGCTAACCCCCAAAGGGGCCGCTGATTTGTACTGGGTCTCCTCTGCCCTGCACCTATGATGAAACGCCCCTTTCATGGACCTGAGAACACCAACATATCTTGAAGGTTTAAATGTGCTTTATTTAACAGCAAAGTCCTAGAAAGGAATGGGTTCATTAACAACCTTTTATGATAGAGCAATGTAGGCACCTTGTTAAAGTAGAGCTCAGGCGCTGGGCAGCACAGTGGCTAAGTGGTTAGCACTTCTACCTGGCAGTACCAAGGTCATTGGTTGGAATCCCAGCCACGGCACTAACTGCCTGGAGTTTGCATGTTCTCCCTGTGCTTGTGTGGGTTTCCTCTGGATACTCTGGTTTCCTCCTACACTCCAAAGACATGCTGGTAGGTTAATTGGCTCCTGTCTAAATTGGCCCTAGTATGTGTATGTATGAATGTGAGTTAGGGAACCTTAGATTGTACACCCCTTGAGGGTTAGGGACTGATGTGAATGTACAATATATATGTAAAGCGTTGCGTATATTGACAGCACTATATAAGTACCTGAAATAAATAAAACAAATTCATTAAAAGTCAGCAGCTACAAATACTGTAGCTGCTGACTTTTAATACAAAGACACTTACCTGTCCAGGGGTCCAGCGATATCCTCACCTGAGCTGATTCTTCTGTCGGCTTCGGGTTCTGGTGCCAGCATCTTCAGAACGGGAAACCGGAAGTGAAGCTGCAAGGTCCCCTACTGCACATGCCGCAGAGCACGATTCACTTTGTGAATGGACTGCAGTCTTCTGGGACGTGAAGTGTCGCAGAAGGCTGCGGAGGTTAGGAGGGAGTCCGAACCTCTGGCTCAGATTGCTGTGGTGATTTGACCTGGAAGTGGAACCAGGTACTTTTCAAAACCAGGTGCCCACTCCCCCAAAAAAAGTGCCAAATGGGGCAGTGGAGGGTGAGGAGGCAGACAAGCGGAACTTCCCCTTTTGGGTGCAGGTCTGCCATGTAATTACTGCCATGTAATTACAGATTAATCACAATCCAACATAGTAAAGCAATACAATTTTGCATTTCAATGGCAATACAGCCTACCTACTACCTAATGCAGAGATGCCTGCCTAACCATTGGCCAGTGGGACTATGTGGTGAGTCTGCCGGCAATGGGACCCTTGAGTTGGTGCGCTCAGTAAAGTAACCAAGATGGTGGCTGGAAGCCTCTCACCACTGATTACTGTTTCTGGTCCTGAGGGGTCCCCTGGTGGCTGGCGAAGGGGTCCTCCCTCTCGAGCCAGCTCTTTAGCAGGTAGCTGGAACACGTGGTCACTGTGAGCTACTGGAAGGCATTGGGATGGAAGCACAGTCTTTCCTCCCTCACCGCAGACAGTAGTGCTCATCATAGCAGCAGCCCAAACCCTGGCCCCTACACACAGTCTTGAACGTGATTCAGGTGCAGCACACGTTTCTTGGCATGTGGTCAGCAGCTCACAACAACAGTCCTGAGGCTTCTTGTAGCCCTGGGGCCTGTAACACAGGCTTCCAGGCTAACACTGTCTGGGCAAACACAGCACAGGTCAGCTCCCAGACTCTGTGATAGCAATCAAAGAAAGTTCTCCATCCTATTTCCCTACACATAGAACAATTCCAGAGCAAACAGTGGGGAAAATAATGATTTGATCCCCTGCAGATTTTGTAAATTTGCCCACTTACGAAGAAATGAAGGGTCTATCATTTTTATCATAGGTGTATTTTAACCAATTCCTGTCCGGCCCATGTAGATTAAAAAAAAAAAAATACAAATAATAATATAAAAAAATATATAAAAATGTAAAAAAAATGTTTAAAAATTATAATTCTTGGTTATAAACTAATTTGGCTTATTAATTTCTTTACTATATAAACGGAATACATTTTGGTCAAGATTTATGATGAAAGATTATTTATTTGCAAAATTTTAAAAGAAAAACACTTTTTTTCAAAATTTTTGGACTTTTTCATTTACATAGCAAAAATAATAAAAATCCCAGCGGTGAATAAATACCACCAAAATAAAGCTTTATCTGTCTCAAAAAATGGTAAAAAATTCATATGGGTACAGTATTGCATGATCGCGCAATTGTCATTCAAAGTGTGATAGCGCTGAAAGCTGAAAATTGCCCTGGACAGGAAGGGGGTAAAAGTGTCCGGACAGGAAGTGGTTAACCAATTCCTGTCCGGCCCATGTAGATAAACGGCCGGACGGGAGCGCTGTCAATGCAGGTGGACGTTTCTAAACGTCCCCCCGCATCCATTGCCTGTGCATGCTCCCTGGGAGCGCGCGGCACAGCGATCGGTGCCCGCCGTGTCCGGAACACAGATCGCTGTACGGGACCTCTGTGTGAGGTCCCAATTCATGTGATCACTGATTGGCCAATCAGTGATCACATGAATAGTAGTAAACAAGATGTCACTTCTGACATCATTGCTTACTACTTGTGAAATCTGTGAATGACCACAGAGGTCACATGGTACAAGGCTATGCACAACAGCCTTGTACCATGTGACAAGCTGTGACCAATCACAGCTTTCACAGTATTTCTCATGGGCTTCAGGAATGCAGCCAGAGAGAAGGAGAAATTATTGCTTTTACAGCCTTTATGGTTGTAAAAGCAATCAGTGTAAAAAAAGAAAAAAAAATTCTTCATCACCCCCCACAAGTAGTACAGTGTCACTACACTACTGCTAGGGTGACAGTATGTTAAATAAATAAGTAAATAATACTATTAAATTTTAAATTATAATTTTTGGTTATAAACTAAACTAAAGACAGATGAATACATTTTGGCCAAGATTTATGAAGAAAGATTATTTATTTGCAAAATGTTATAAGAAAAACACTTTTTGTTATGTTATATGAAAAAATGTTATAAGAAAAACAATCCCAGTGGTGAATAAATACCACCAAAATAAAGTTTTATTTGTCTAAAAAAAATGCTAAATAATTCATATGGGTACAGTGTTGCATGACCACGCAATTGTCATTCAAAGTGTGATAGCACTGAAAGCTGAAAATTGGCCTGGACAGGAAGGGGGTGAGAGTGTCCGGACTTGAAGTGGTTAAATGACAGAGAAAGAATATCAACCAAAAATCCAGAAAAAAACACGATACAAATGTTAGAAATTGAGTTGTAGTTGAGTGAGTAAAATAAGTATTTGATCCCCTACCAACCAACTATTCTGGCTCCCAAAGATGTGTTCATGTGGTACAAAAATGATGATGCAAAATGGAAATGGATGCTCCCAACACAGGGTGGTGACTGTGGGGGCAAAAGTGCCTCATCCTAATTTAGACTAATTGAACAATTGAAAAAAAGAACTTATGTACTTTTTACGCACTACAATGATATTTCATAAAAACAGCATTTTATTGAATGTTTACAAACATAAAATCTTTACAGAATGGTAACTTTCACCCTGTAACATATAAGAATTCACTGCAGATACACACACTATTGATGGACACATAATATGGATACATGACACAGAAATGGTTTATAGCAGTGTTTCTCAACCGTTTTTCAGTCAAGACACCCTTTAAAATTATGGGCAGTCCTGGGGACACCCTTTAAAGCCGCCGGCATCCTTACATTAATATGGCCCCCCCCCCCTTCTTTTGTGGCTTTTCACAATTTGAGCCCATTCAGCCTAAAGGGCTTTGTGAGGTCAGGTACTGATGTTGGATGAGAAAACCTGGCTAACAATTGGCGTTCCTATTCATCCCATGGGTGTTCAGTAGGGTTGGATTTAGGACTCTGTGCAGGACACTAGAGTTCCTTCACATCAAACTCATCAAACCATGTTTTTACAGAGATAACTGTACGCACATGGGTGTCCACATACTTTCGGCCATATAAATACATGTTATGGTCAGGTGTTAACCAGTTTTCGGCCATAGAGTGTGTAGGGATCTGTTGCCCTCTACTGTCAGAATTTGTAAATGTCTGTAAATATATTATATATGAACTTCCTGCTCCTGGTTGTTGGGTTTGAAATTGCAGAAATAAAAAGTGAAGAGAGAGAGAAAGTCACATGTCCTGTCCATGCTGCTGAATCCTGGACCAGAAGACACTATTTTAAAACTAATAGGGAGGAATAAAAGCCTAGAGTAGATAGGTTAACTCTGAGTTCCAGTTCCTCACCACAGTTTCTGCCAGTATGAAGCTCCATTCCAAGCTGGTTGGACAACAGTTGGATGATATTCCCGTGACCACTGATATTGTTTTCAAGAATCCAACACAAAGACAGACGCTGCATCATCTTCATGGGGCACCTGAAACTGGACTTTGCTGCAACATTCATCTGGAGGTATCTCTATTAAAGGTTTACTAAATACAGGACTCTGCATTCACTATATATGGTCTCCCTGGACCCTGCATTCACTATATCTGGTCTCCACGGACCCTGCATTCACTATATCCGGTCTCCACGGACCCTGCATTCACTATATCCGGTCTCCCCGTACCCTGCATTCACTATATCTGGTCTCTCCGGACCCTGCATTCACTATATCCGGTCTCCCCGGACCCTGCATTCACTATATATGGTCTCCCCGAACCCTGCATTCACTCTATCCGGTCTCCCGGATCCTGCATTCACTATATCCGGTCTCCCCGGACCCTGCATTCACTATATCCGGTCTCCACGGACCCTGCATTCACTATATCCGGTCTCCACGGACCCTGCATTCACTATATCCGGTCTCCCCCCGGACCCTGCATTCACTATATCTGGTCTTCCCGGACTCTGCATTCACTATATCCGGTCTCCCCGGACCCTGCATTCACTATATCCGGTCTCCACGGACCCTGCATTCACTATATCCGGTCTCCACGGACCCTGCATTCACTATATCCGGTCTCCCTGGACCCTGCATTCACTATATCCGGTCTCCCCGGGCCCTGCATTCACTATATCCGGTCTCCCCGGACCCTGCATTCACTATATCCGGTCTCTCTGGACCCTGCATTCACTATATCTGGTCTCCCCGGACCCTGCATTCACTATATCTGGTCTCCCAGGACCCTGCATTCACTATATCTGGTCTCCCACAGTACACACAACATGGAAATGCAATTATTTTTGTAAATATAAATTGCTAAATACCTTTTCTCATCAGCAGTATGTAGCAGTCTTGTGACTTATATCAGTGTCCAGCTCAGCACTGGTTAAAGCTTGTAGGAGGAGTTTTCTTTCTGCTCTAGGAGGATGCAAAACCCCTGACCTCTGTCTGGACAGTGCTGATTGTCCCTGTGCTGATCACATGCACTCTCCCAAGAAAAAAAAAAAACCTCTTTAGCAATACATGCTAAACTGAGCATGTGCAGAAAGGCTACGGGTTCAGTCTGTCTGGACATTTGAACAAGAGGAGGAGCAGAGAAGTCAGGATCAAACAGCCATTTTACACAATGCAGAGAATTAACCCCTTAGGTTCCACAGGTAGTATAACAAGCATGCTTTACTGCATATACAGACTGATTTTACTGTTGTGGGTTTAGTAACACTTTAATAACTATATATTCCTGTGTATATGTGCACAATTCCACCAGGACTCCTATCGGGCCCTTTGCTGATAATATCTGTTTATACATTGGATGTATATACTGTTATTAACCTCTTCTTATATAAAGAATATATTATTTCTATACTGATGTGCAGCTACATACTTATGGTTAATGCTATATGCTGGTTGCAGTAGTTCTTCTGCTCTTAATTACTTTGTTTAGATAGCTAGTTAATTTCCTAGGAAGGAAACCCCCCCTGTTCACAGAGACCCTGTCCTGGGTGGAGGCACTGACAAATTTAATATTAAACCCACACTTTTATTTAGGAAAGGTCCCGGTTCTCTTATTTACCTAAAGGTTTAGATTAATCCTGCTTTGGGGGCCATTATCTAACCCCCCCCCCCAAAGAGGGCTACAAATATATATCACCAGTTAGCAATCTTCAAGACTTCGTTAGTATGTTGAGTAAGGCTAGGTTGACATCTGTGCGGGTGGTGTCGCTGTGGATCCGCACAAAACTCCTTGGAGCCGTACAACCCACACTGAAGAATGTGGACCCGAGGGCGGGTGCAGTTAATTCTAATGGCACGCCGCCCGCACTGGAGATCGCAACCGCACTGGGAACCGAGGTTCGCGTGTGGGGTGCGTTTTCAGAACTGCAGGGATTTTGTCCCTGCATGTCCCTGGGCACGGGAGTCCATTCAAATGAATGGGCTCTCGTGCCCGTGCAAAACGCGGCCCGAAGGGCGCGGCGTGTGGGGGGGACGCAGAATATGTGAACCAGGGGTTAGTTGTTAGGCTCCAGGCACACGGGGCGTTTTAATAACGCTGGTAGTATTAGCTGTATAAAGTCATGCGAGTTTTTTCAGCATTTTTAGCATTTTTGCATTAGCGTTTAGCATACATTTGCATTTTTTAGAATTTTTTTTTTTACACAACAACAAAAAAAAAATTTGCTCAAAAAAAAAAAGCCCAAAAACGTGCATGTGGGGATTGTGTGATTGGGGGGTTGTGATGGAGGGGACTGTGTGACTGGGGGGGGGGTGGTCTCTATGATGGGGGAGACTGTGTGACTGGGGGGGCTCTGTGATGGGGGGACTGTGTGACTGGGGAGCTCCGTGATGGGGGGGACTGTGTGACTGGGGGGGGCCCATGTGATGGGGAGTACTGTGTGACTGGGGGCTTTGTGATGGGGTAGACTGTGTGACTGGGGTCTCTGTTGTGGAGAGAATCATGTATAGGGGCTTCTATTGTAAAGGGGCAAGTCTTCTGTGACAGACATTACATAGTTACAATATACAGTTCGTAAGTTTGAATAAAGACACCAATACATCCAGTTTAATGTGTGTGTCTTGTTGCCATTATCCATATCCCTCTATGTTGCATTTGCTAAGAAACACATCTAAAATGTTTTTTTTTTTAACACCACTAACTGTGGAAGGTAGTTCTATATCCACACTGCTCTAACAGTAAAGAACTCCTTACACAATTTAAGACTGAACTGCTGCTCATCCAACTTCATTGTGTGGCTGGGTATCTTCTTCAGAGGCCTCAGAATAATATATTTTCTCCCAATGCTAGAGTCACCATTTAAAGATTTGTATATTGTCTTTTTTAACCCCTTCGTTACATAGTTACATAGTTAGTCTGGCTGAAAAAAGACAAAAGTACATCCAGTTCAACCATAGAAAAAAAAATTATAATCCTACACCCACAGTTGATCCAGAGGAAGGCAAAAAAAAAAACCCAGCAAAGCATGATCCAATTTGCTCTGCTGGGAAAAAATTCCTTCCTGATCCCCCGAGAGGCAATCGGATATTCCCTGGATCAACTTCATCTATAAATGTTACTATCCAGTTATATTCTGTGTATCTAAGAAAGAATCCAGGACTTTTTGAAGCAATCCACTGAGCTGGCCAGAACCAACTCTTGAGGGAGTCTATTCCACATTTTTTCACAGCTCTTACTGTGAAGAAACCTTTCCATGTTTGGAGATTAATTTCTTCTTTCCTCCAGACGTAAAGAGTGCCCCCTTGTCCTCTGTGATGACCTCAGGGTGAATAACTCTACACCGAGTTCACTATATGAACCACTGATGTATTTATACATGGAGATCATATCCCCCTTATGTATTATTACATGGAGATCATATCCCCCCTTAATGTATTAATGGAGATCATATCCCCCCTTATGTATTATATACATGGAGATCATATCCCCCCTTATGTATTATACATGGAGATCATATCCCCCTTATGTATTATACATGGAGATCATATCCCCCCTTATGTATTATACTGGAGATCATATCCCCCTTATGTATTATATACCATGGAGATCATATCCCCCCTTATGTATTATACATGGTGATCATATCCCCCCCTTATGTATTATACATGGAGATCATATCCCCCCTTATGTATTATACATGGAGATCATATCCCCCCTTATGTATTATACATGGAGATCATATCCCCCCCTTATGTATTATACATGGGAGATCATTATCCCCCTTATGTATTATACATGAGATCATATCCCTCCTTATGTATTATACATGGAGATCATATCCCCCTTATGTATTATACATGGAGATCATATCCCCCCTTATGTATTATCAGGGCTTTTTTTTTCTCAGAGGAAAGGTGGTGGAACTCCCCCACCCAAACCTGGCCACGCCCCCATCAAACCCTAGGACCACCCTTTAGAGAACAGGAATGCAAGTAAAATTTGGGAGGGGCTATAAAAGTAAATGTATGGAATTAACACCGCCCCCCCCCCCCACATTAGTAAGAATAGCGAGTACCACTGCCCCCCCCCATACATTAGCAAGAAAAGCAGAGAAAAATTGTATCGCCGCTCCTTACCTGATGCTGACGATCCGCGCTATGGTAGGATCGACGAGCAGAGGGCGTGATGACCGTCAGCGCGCACCGCCGGGTGTACTAAGATACACCTTTCCTATGGGGGTGGCCGCGCGCCCCCGATGTTTACACGCTGGCGGTAGAGGGGGGGGGTGAAGCGTGCATGTCCCCGCTCACCGGCTGTGAGCAGCGGCAGTGACAGGTGCCGGGCACGCGCAAGCATGACATAAACAAGCCGCGTCCGGCACCTGTCACTTTCGCTGCTCTGCATAGCTTGTCAGCTCTGCAGAGGCAGTCGTTGTGAGCGGGGACAAGAAGAAAAAGGTGGCGGAACGCAGTACCGCCGCGTTCCGGCAGACTAATGATTTGTACCGGGGGAAATGATATCTCTCTCTCTGGAGTCTATACCTCTTTTAACACAAGAGAAGATTTTGCTCGCTTTAGAAACCGCAGCTTGGCATTGCATGCCATTATTAAGCTTGTGATCTACCAGAACCCCCAGATCCTTCTCCACCATTGATTCCCCCAGTTGTACCCCCCTAGTATGTATGATGCATGCATATTCTTAGCCCCCAAGTGCAGAACCTTACATTTATCAACATTAAACCTCATTTGCCACATAGTTGCCCAATTACACAGAGCACTGAGGTCGGCTTGTAAGTTGGAGACATCCTGTAAGGACGTTATTCCACGGCACAGCTTGGTGTCATCTGCAAAGACTGAAATGGGATTTTTAATCCCAGACCCTATATTGTTTATAAATATATTAAAAAGTAAGGGTCCCAACACTGAACCTTGGGGTACACCACTGACACCCCTAGACCATTCAGAGTATGAATCATTAACCACTACTCTCTAGATACCATCTTTTAGCCAGTTTTCTATCCATTTATATACAGATTTTTCCAAGCCTGTAGACTTTACCTTACACATTAGCCGTGTGTGGGGAACTGTGGTAAACGCTTTTGCAAAATCCAAGTATACCACGTCCACCGCCACCCCTGTGTCCAATTATACCACGTCCACCACCACCCCTCTGTCCAAGTATACCACGTCCACAGCCACTCCTCTGTCCACGTATACCACGTCCACCTCCACCCCTCTGTCCAAGTATACCACGTCCACCTCCACCCCTCTGTCCAAGTATACCACGTCCACAGCCACCCCTCTGTCCAAGTATACCACGTCCACAGCCACTCCTCTGTCCACGTATACCACCCCCACCTCCACCCCTTTGTCCAAGTATACCACGTCCACTGCCACCCCTCTGTCCAAGTATACCACGTCCACCGCCACCCCTCTGTCCAAGTATATCATCACGTCCACCGCCACCCCTCTGTCCAAGTATATCACGTCCACCGCCACCCCTCTGTCCAAGTATACCACGTCCACAGCCACCCCTCTGTCTGAGGTTTTGCTCACCTCCTCATAAAAACAAATCAGATTGTTTGACAACTTCTGTCTCTCATGAATCCATGCTG